AATTGATTTACATTGTGTTTATATAATAATTTCTGATCCATACAGTCAAAGATCAAATTATTTGAATGAAATTACTGTTGTGAAAAGCTGCTATGGTCCAAACAATCGTTTTTCATGTGTTTGGATGCTCAGAGAAGATAACCCCACTGCTTGACCTGATATTGAATTGGTCCTTGAATAAAAAATAAAAATCAATATGTTGTGAAATATCACAATGGTTGTTTATTTTCTGAAAGATAGTCAAAATTCTCAGTAACTTCGCATCATTTGCTCTAACTGTAGTTGTGTTGAAATGTTCCAGCCTCACATGTTGCATCATTTTAAAAAGCTGATTTTGGATCTTGTGCCATAAGTTAACAGGCGTTTTGTAGAAGTGGAAGATGCTACAGTCACTGGTCATAATCAACGGGGACACTGTTTTCATGATTTAGATTCTGTCTTTTTATATATTTATTTATTTAATTTTTAAATGTGGCTTTAGTAAAAGTGTGTTTTTTTCACCCGTTGGACCAAAGCTTTATTTTGATACTGCTGAGGAATAATCACCAAACAATAAAAGAGTTTCAAATGTTTCATAATGTATCGTGTAAAACAATTCTTTATATTAAACTAATTTTCTGTTATGTTTAATCAAACAGGTTTGAGCCAGCTGCTGTAACTTACCATGTAGCATCAAAAAATCACTTTGTGGGAAACTGGGAAATGAAAAACAGGCATTTCTACGACGGGCTGGCAGAATTAAGGAAACATGGGAGAGGAGATGTAGGAGCTACAGAAGGGAGCATAAAAATACCACAAAATAAAACAAGTGTGGGGCATCGTTTGATCATCAGGGTAAGCTTTGGCAATTAATAAGATCATCACTGAATTTTGCTAATTTATTTGAAGTAACATAAATAACATACAGTTTAAAATCAGTGTGTACAATAAAACAATATATGTATATTTTTTTATAATACAAAAACTTATATTTTAATGTAGGAGAAAGCTGCCGAAACTGTGGAGGCAAGACGAGAGAGAAATGAAGAGCTGGTGAACTTCACTGTCCACCAAACGGGTGTGGAGGAAAATCTGAAGGTTGGAGATTTTCCAGTGAAGACCTGCAGGACTGAAACGTCCAGATGTGTCTCTGCTTCAGCACATTTGAGTAGAATAATGACGTCACTAGAAGGTCTTTGGTGTGTCTGACCACATATCTAAAAACTAATTTTAATTTATTTATTCCTAATCCCTTGGATGTACATTATTTTTTAGTGTGTTTGTAACACTTCCAAAAAATGTGTTACTTTTCCTTTTTCCCATAAACTACATGATAAAAGTACACATACACTTATTATTTGGTATGTTAAAATGAAATAACAATATAAAACACCAATAAAAAACATGAATTGGACAGTAAGCAACAATATTTAGTCTACAAGTAATCCATGTACAGAATTCACTGTTACGTTTTTGTATTAATTCAGTTTAGATTTATTGGTTGCTTGTCACTACAAATAGTCACATAGTACATTTTTGAATTTGAATAAAAGCTAACCACCAAGACTGCAGAAATGATTTGTATTGTATCAGAGACAACAGTTGTTGTTGTGTTACATAAAGAGACAGATTTTCGTTTAGAAAGTAACTGCCTTTTTACAGGAAGTTCTGTCTGGTGAAATGATCCCACATTTCCAATTTCAGGAGGTTCCCATCATCTCTGATGACCAAATGATGATGCACCTGTCAGAGCTTCTGGACAGCGATGAAGCTGAAACAGCTGAAGTGATGAAGATGATTTCATTAGACAGGATCAAATACATGATGGATGTCCTGCTGCCTGAGGTCAGTTACTGGAATATCTTGGTGCATAATCTCAACATAGACATGGAATTACTCAGTAATTACATATTTTAATTAAAAAAGGCTTTTAAAATATAAAATAATCTATAATGATAAAACATACATATTGTAAAACTTACTAAATGACAAATCAAAAATAAACAATAATGTTTTATTTTATTTAAATTCCAACAGAGATTCACAACAAATGTCTTCAAGTCAGTTTCTAGAAATAATTTCAAGTCAGTTCATCCATACATTAAAAATGATCACTGTTATCAACAGTACAGTAAGCCTAGTAAATTTTTCAAAGTTTTTAAAAAAAGTTTGTTTTTAAGGAAATACAGCAGGTTGCATGGAGTGGACATGCAGCCTTGATTCCTGCTGGACGAAAGGTTATCAAGCAGTTTGGACAATAAAACAGTCAGAATATTCAGTATGTGGACCACATGGGGCCCTGCAGCCTTTTCATTCTGCATCCCCTCCAGTTTTACCTGTTCTTAATGTGTATTGAAAAAGAGACCAGCAGTGAAACGAAGACATTCCTCTCCAAAGTAGACAGGAGGGGGTGAAGAGAAGCATGGTGTGAAATAATAAAACATGTCAGCTTAACGAGAAAGGGAAAGTTTTTAATTTTTCTTTATAAAAATGTAAAGTCAATATTTTCTTTTGAAAAGAGTTTTACTAATTAAATATGTTGATTTCATAAAGGCATTGGGAAAAAAAGGGACTAAACTTGGCAGAGGCAGTGCAAAAAGTGGAGCATTAATGGAGGGGAGAGAATTAAAGGGATAGAAGCAATAAGAGTATAAAAATATCACATATAAATATAGCAAAAATAATTTAAGTGATTCATAACAACATTTCTTTGTCGCAGTGAAAGAGAAGCACTTCTGATGCAGATTAGAGCAGAAATAGAAGAAATAGAGACGCGTGCAAAGACCAACAATTAAGGAAAAGCCGTGAAATAAAACTTTTCCAAATTTGACATTTGTTATTTTTTAAGCAAGGACATCTCATAACAATAGTGAATAGCCTATTTTCATGTTTTGTTTCATTCTGCTCAAAATCTAAAGCCAGGCACATTCAAATAACCCAATCCAGGATTGTAGTTTTCAGTATCATTTCTAGTGTGATCCAGAAGCCAAAAAATGGTGAAATTCAAACTTTATTGAGTTTTCACAAATCAGAAAAAGGTTTCACAGATCCCAATCATGGTTTTAAATATTCTGCTTGAAGGGGAGGATAATTTAGTCCAGGTTTGAGGTATAGTAGATTTTAAACTACAGTCAATTAATGATGCGGAAGGTAGTGAAAAATTAAGTGCAATCGCCCTTTAGCTATCGGAAGCTGGAATTGGAAACTGACTTCAGCTTCGTCTCTGATACTTTTTGTCTGTTGCTAATAAAAATGATCGATCAGCCATTGTTGTCATGGAAATCCTCACTGCGCCGCGGATTCCGGCTGGGGGTTTCTCCTCTTCGTGTTCCAGCTCCAAACAGAGCCGCTGCCGCTGCTGCGTGTTCATTCTTCAGGTAATCCTCCATATACAGAACAGAAACCATTAAGCTAAAAACTAATTACGAAGTGGATGCTACCAGTCGAACTTTGCATTAATTCCGCGATCTCACTGGTTTTGGCGCTGCTCCTCAGCAACAAAATCCATCCCATTGTTATTTATTGAAGATTTGAGATTTCCAAAAACACAGGAATCTAATGTTGCGTTTCGTTTTGTACGTCTGGAAGCTCATTCCCTCTCACATAACCGGAAAAGCCGGAAAAATATGGTTTACTAATTTTATCATAACTCTGGTTTTATTTGGCTCATTAACACAATTTAAAAACTGGTGTGTAGTTTATAATCTGCTCTTTAAGCTCAAGTTGAAAGTGAGACTGGGGGAGGCGGAGTCTGGCTGCTAACATACCAGACATGTTACAAAGACTCTATAAGGCTACGGACAACTATGGTCTAACGTATCGATACTCGTGGATGAAAAATCGATACTTTCATAGGGTGGAAAATATCGATATATATCGCCAAATCGATTTATTTATAGCCATTAGCCTGTTTAGAATCGCTATGCTAACTCTAATCAGCTTAAAGTGAAAATGATTGTCTGTCTGTGTAAAGTTGAGAAGGATCTGCTCATGAAAACGGCTCTTTAAAGCATTCAGAACAACACAAAGACACAATCACAACAGTCTGATGATTTTATTGCCCTGGGACAATAACTCAGAAATAGTCCAAATAGTTTGGATGCATTTTAATTTCTTGGGAAGTTTCTGTTTATGTCTCAGTGGGGATGGAAAGAGAGGAAAACCTTTGGGCTGTTTGGCTTTTGCACTTTCAACATAGGTCTGATGTGAATTTCTGTCCCAAAGATATAAAACCTCAGATATTTCACAACCAGATATTAACATACACGGAGAAAAATCCTCATATTACAGCAGGAAGTGTCAGTATTTAGTGATGGATGAACTGATCGGGACGTTACTGCGAGGGAAATTCCGCATGTCCTTCTTGGGGCTCCGTAGTCTAATCCTGCTGTTTGAGAAACATTTAGTGAGAAAATTAAAGAATTAGTTATTTATTATACAGGAAAGGTGACCAATTTGTGTCCATACTGGGCCCAATTCTCCCAGTCTGAAACCAGTTCCCCTGACCAACCTGGACTCACTGGATCAGAACCAGAACTAGGTATGAAAATAAGTTTCAGTTTTTATTTACATTTTATTTAAATTATTCATAAATACCTCCATAAATTACTTTGGAATAATTTATGGAAATGATTAATAATTTATAAATAATTTCCAACTTATTTATATATAAGTTTGAAATTATTTATGAATAACTAGTGACCACCCAGCCAATCAGAGCCCTCCTCTGCTTCCTGCTGGTTCTGACCCGCCTCTGGTTCTGGTGATGTTTCCCTGCAGGTCTGGACTTTGACTGGGCCGCACCTGAATACACCTGGGTGCGAATACTCAGGAGGCGTTTCCTCAATAACCTGGTTAATCTGGGGTGACATCACTTCCTGTCAATGTGACCAATGAGAATGCGTCTCTTTCTGATACTGGCAGGAAGTGACCACATCACAATAAAAGCCTCTTTCCTTTAATAGCAGCAGCAGGTCAGAATTACTAGTGAAGAAACCAATGAAATCATCAGAGCGACCTCATCATGTTTAATGCTTTTAATGTGAAAAGTCAGCATGTTGATCTGCTCATCTTCCTGAGTACTTCACAATAAAAGTCTGAGCAAATCCATAAAATCTGCATAGATTATAATTTCATCTACAAGAAGCTTCTAGAAATATTTTCTATAATTAATATAAAATCAATAAATATCTAATCAGAGGGATTGATCTGCCGCTGCATTGTGATTGGACGACACAAAATTTCCCATGAAGCTTGGCACCTGCAGACCCGTTGCCACGGAGATTCCCCCGCACCACACCTGGAACACACATTACTACAATCAGTACTACTTAGTAGTACAGATACCACACTGTGTGGTACCACCGGGTACCTGTAGTACCTGTAGTACCCAGTGAGGGAATAGTACTAATGCTGCAGCACTAGTATAGTAGTAGTTCTATGGTAGATCTGCAGTAGTACTGCTGAGGTACTATAGTACTCACGGTGAAGGCGGGGACGAGCGGCTGCAGGAAGCGGCTCCTGAAGATGTGCAGCAGGCGAAGCCGATCGACGTCGATGAACATCAGTTCTCCTGAGGAAGAGGAGGAGGAAGAGCGATGACATCATCAGCTGTAAAACAGCTTCTGGATTTTATTCTGAAGGTCATGTGATCTGTTGTCATGGAAACCCAGCAGACCATTGTCATGGTCGCAGTAAACGCCGATTCGCTGCGGCGGCGGCCAATCCAAGGCCTTCGCTCGGTTGCCGTGTTTGGCTGCCAGCGCGCTCTGCAGCCATTGGCTGGCGTAGAGGCACCAGGAGGTGGAGCTCTTCCCTAATTGGTCAAAGCGTCCTAAGCTGCCCCGGTAGGCCACGCCCACACTGAGAGACTTCCAGTCAGCGAGGGGGCGGAGCTCCCAGTAATGACAGCCTCCATTGATCTCCTGGTCACCTAGGAAACAGAAACACAAAACTTAACCAAAATTACCAAAATAAGAGCCTTAAGTCCAACCAAGCAGCCTCTGGGCGGCCTAGTTAAACTAAAAAGAGTAGCTGCAGTACCCAGCACGGTGTAGGACTCCCCGGCGAATCGCTCGCGTCCGCCTCGACTTCCTGCCGTCTTATTGGGCGACGGAGTGGCGCTCCGGCTGCTGACCAATCAGAAGGAAGCAGATGTTAGCAGAGAGGAAACTCTGCGGCAGAACAGCCAATGAGGTCGACCCAAAGCGATGATGCGGCAGGAAGATGACAAGAACAGAAACGCTGATGAAAACCGACCACAGCTGGGGTCATGACCTTTAACCTTTAACCTCACACAACCATTATAGCAACAAATCTATCACAGCGGTGATGTCAGTGATGTGACTGGCTGCATGAAGGAAATGGTGGATGGGGAGTGTGACTGGCGGTTGCTAGGCAACAAGTGGGTGATAACAGTGTCTACCTGGAATGCAGAGGAGGCGGGACGGAGACTGAAGAGGGACAGAAAGGTCAGAGGTCACAGAGCAGCAGAGGAACAACTCACAACCAGGCACAACACCTGAACAGGTGCAGCGAACCTGTAAACTGTAAACCACAGAATCGAATCCAGCCTGAACACTGACACCTGAACCAGCTGGAGGGCACTGTTACCCTGGCAACAGGTGAGGGCAGGTCTATGACAGTGGGCGCGTCCAGGTGTGGGCGGGTCCAGTGAAGCGTTTCTCTTCCTCACCTGTTTTTATTCTCTTTGCCCCTGAGCCGTGCGTCGTGACCTTTGACCCCCTGGGGCTCCCATGTGACCGTGTCACCCTGGATCTTGAGCTCAGCGTGAGCCGTTGCCGTATCGAAGCCGAAGGTAAACGCTGCCAAAACCACAGAAGAAGAAGGTTTCAGACATGTTTCAGAGTGAGTGCTCCCATCATGTCTGCTATATTTACCTTTGGTTTCCATGGCAACGGGCTCAGAGAAGTCTCCGGCGGCAGCCTTGTTTCGCGCCCGGACTCGGACGACGATGAATGGCGAATCAAACTTCAGACCTGGAAACGGAGGAGTTGTTGCTAGGCAACAAGACAGAGTGACATCACACATGGAGGAGCTCTCTGAAGCGTCTCACCTGAGAGCGTCACCTGAGTGTCTGTGATGTCACTGATCTTCTCCCAGCCGGCCTCCCCCACGGCTCTCAGGGCGCCGCCGTGGTTCGCCTTATGATGCTCAAGATCGTAACGCTCGATTGGCCCGTCGCCGTCGCTCGGTCGCCAGGTGACTGTGATGCTGTTGTCACGGACGATGCAGCTGGAGACGTCGATCTCTGGAGCTCGGGGAACTGAAAACAAACTTCCTGTAAGGAGACGATCATAGCTGTTTCCATGGCGACTTGAGGGGCGTGGCTTCTGACCTGGCAGGAAGTTAAGGCGCAGAAGCCCCGTCTTCTCGCCACTGAAGTCGACAGTAAACTGCGACATGTTTTCTGACACCGCGGGCCGAGTGGCCATCCGGAACGCTGGAGCCATTGTTACCCTGGCAACAGCAGGGGGCGGAGCCGACAGAAGAGGGTGTGGCTAAGTGTTAGTAGGGGGCGGGGTTAGCATGTTAGCATGCAGATCAGAGCTTTAATCACAGGAAAAAGTTAGTTTCAAAAAAAAGGAATTGGAAACAAAGAAGAAACAAAGAAGCGACTGAGCAACTAAACGAAACATGGCAACCAAACAGGAAGTGTGTTGATGTGTAACCTACCGCTCTTTGATCTCCTTGGCTGCCTGAGAACAAAACAAAACATAAATATTAAAACAGTAATGGTGATTAGTAGGGAGTTTTCGTGTTCTTCTGCGGCGCCGTGGAGCCGACCCGACAGGCTGTGGTTCTGTCAGAGGCCACTGTCCCCCCTCCTCTACCTGTTTCTGTTCTGCCTGTTTGTATGGTTGCGTAGTGAAGATGCTCCAGTGTTAGATTTTATTGATATAATATAAAATGCAAATGTTATTTTATATATTTTTTTTTCATTAGAATTAGTTTTGTTATAAATAAACATGGTGATGATGATGGGAACCTTCAGCACTCAGCAGGTAGCCCCGCCCACTCGGCTTCCTCCTGATGTGTGATGGGTGAGTGTGCTCCAGTGTAGGTTGTCCAACATACGGTGTGCGGACCTAACCCGGCCCCCACATGTCAAGTTTCGGCTGCAGGCGTTTATAAAAATGGCGAAGCATAAAATCTGGCCTCTGTGATAAATTAACCGCCCTCCCTAATCTGTCCACTGGGGGAGCTGCTGAGTCCAGCTTCCAGTTTGCTAACAGGAAGTGAAAATGTTGCTTACCGTCAGAAACTCTTCTTCGTTGGTAATGGTCAGCGACTGATTTGCGAACTCCAGCAGCTCCTGGCAGGACAACAGGGCAGCCTTCCCCTCGGACAGCTGCCGCTGGAAACCATGGCAACCAGACGGTTTGATTTCATCAACAACAGCAAACAACCACAACGATGACATCATACCTGAAGCTCCGCCTCCTTTCTTTGCTTCTCCCCTTTGATGATGTCACAGAGCTGAGCTCCTCTTTCCTCCAAGGCGGAGCTTAGCTTCTCTAGCTCCGCCTCCAGCTCTGACATCACCTTGCAGGACTCCTCCTGATTGGACAGTTCATTCACAGCACTTCTTAGAACATGTGTTATTCCATTTAAGCCCCTCCCCCTGTTCTCGCTCAGCCAATGAGCTGCTGACCTGCAGGCCCGTCCGAGTGCCGTCAACCGAGTCCAGGAAATACTGGAGCTCTTCATTCTTATTGGCCAACGTGTTGATGATGCGGCGCAGAGCTTCCTGTTGGAACAAACAGATTCAGGTCACTGCAGCTCACCTGGCCTCCAGGTGGAACAGCTGCCCAGTCATGTTATCGTCATGGCGACCGGCGGCCACACTGACTCATGAAATTCACTCCAGATGTTTGGGACTCTCGACTAGTTCAAATTTATAAATACTTTATTGATCCAAAGACAAATTAAATGATATTTCCTTTTATCTCTTTATTTACAGCAGCAGATCGACGATCCAGGTTCTACAACAGCCTAGTTAAAGCTCAGACCTAATCTGACGGGATCTTCTGAACGGTTTGTCAACCACAAAGTCACGTTCCTCTCACTGATCCTCTCCGATCAGGTTGCCATGGTTACCAGATCAGCTGATCGGAGCGGATTGATCGTTTTACCGGGAGGAAACAGCTGATCCGTTTCCGGTCAGTCTAGAACTCGCGCTTCCAAAGGGAAGCTAACTGCTAGCAGCTAACAGCTAGCAGCTAACGGCTAGTTCCACAGTCTCTTTCGGAACCGCTGGTCCATTTGGGTCTGAGCCGTCCGAGTCTTACCTTCTGAGTGTCCATCACAGTAGGACAAGCGGAAATGACGTCTACTTGGAGCGCGACGCCACTTCGCTGCGGGCTTTCAGAGTAAAAGACCTTCGCTGCTCGTGACTCCCGATGACTCCAAGAAGCCGGAAGAAGCTGGCGCCCCCTGCGGACCGGCAGGTACTGCAGGTTCCCGGTGTTGCTCCCCGGTCCGACCGGGTCTGGGTTTGGATCGGACTCAACCACCTTCAGAATTTTAACTGGTACTGGTCAGAACTTTCTCCTATGACTGGTTTCCTGAGTTTCTCTCGTTCGCAGTCAGCCTGCCTGTGGTTATCCGGAGCTGTCCCTGTAGTCATGATGCTATAGGACAAACTGACACTTCTCACTCGTTATTTTCTATTTCAACTGTCGTTTTTTCTTTCCACAGAAGCTCCACCTGGTGTGTCGTTCTGATTGGCTGACTCCTTCCTGGAGGCGGGGCATTAGCTGACATGGCTGCCATCACCCAAGCGGTCCTCTGTAGATCAGGGGTGCCTAAACTTTGCAGCCTGTGACTCTAAAATACACTGGTCATGTATTCCACTTTATTTAAATATGCTTCTTTGAATTAAATTAATTTATGAAAACAATTAAAGGGTGTAGTGCATTATTTAATGGAGCTAAAGCTAAAACTCAAAAATAACCTTTTAATTTCAAAAGTTTTTTTTCCTTTCAGAACTGCAGGTGCTCCCAGGCGGCGCTGCAGCCCAGCCTCACCTGGGCGGCGGCCGGGTCACCAGGTGAGAAAAGAGACGCAGGAAGCAGCTTGTGTTGAACTTTATTGATCATCTGCAGTGAGTCTGCTGCAGCTCAATCGGTTAAATTAGCTGCAGTTTACAGCAATAACTTACGCTTTACAGTGTTACTCGTTTCCATGGTGACAGGACAGGAAGCATCAGGTTCTGAACAAAGCCAGGTACGCTGCCGGTTCTGTTGGGTACTGGTCCGAAAGGTAAGGTTCCGATCAGAAGTTTAACTGGACCTGATTGGATCGAAGGTTAGTGGGTTAATCAGACCCGGCACGAAGGTTCTGGTTCTGGTACCGGACCACAGACCGGGCTGTGTTCAGAACCAAACCTTCCAGACGCTACAGCTACCAGAAACATCATCACCTTCAGGTCGCCATGGGAATGCTGTTCTGAAGGGGCGGGGCCATGCAGGGCAGGGGGCGGAGCTAAGCGCTACAGATCAGTGGTATAAAAACATAGAAAGGTTCCTCTCAGGCAGGTGGGAGGAGCTAATCAAGCAGCAGCGGGATGGGGGTGGAGCCAAAACATTGAATCACTTCCTGTACAGTTCTGTTCCCAGACATCACTTCCTGTTCCAGACTCACACAGAAGTGACGATGTAGGAGCCGCGTTCGCCGCCGCCACCACCGTCTCCGCCCTTCGGCTCTCGCTTCTTGGTCACAGGGGTGGGGATGAGCGAGGGCCGCGCTGGCGTGGCCGACGTGCCGCCGGCAGACTGCGTGGGGGCGGAGCTCAGCTCTGCGCCGTTCTTCCTGGGGCTGGGTGTGTAGTTGAAGGGACTGACGCGCGCCGCCACGGCACCACTGCGCGGTTGGCTGCGTTGCTGCTGGCGGTCAGGAGGGGGCGGGGCCTGCTCTTCCAGGCTCTCACAGCTCCGCCGAAGGTTGAGGTTGGAAGAGGACGAAGAGGAAGAAGAGGGGATCTTGGAGGGGGCAGGGCTATCGATGATGGGCGGGGAGTTGGCGGAGGTAGGCGAGCGCGCTGAGCAGGCGGACGGCGAGCGCGGGTTGTTAACGGGACAGTCCTCCAGGCGGACCCAGACGTCCTCTGACTTGGAAGCTGTCGACTCGCCGCCGTTCTTTGCCTTCCGCCACGTCCCCTTGGCCTCACCGCGGCCACCGTCCTCACCCCGCCCCTTCTCGCTGGACTCGGAGGACGCCGACAGCACAGAGGAGGAGCTTCCCGTCCGCTTCCACGTGCCGACGCGCGGCAGCGAGGTCGAGTGTTTCCCACCGCTCACTCCGGAGCCGCCGCCGCTGGCCTCACGCTTCCAGGTGCCGGTGCGGCTTATACGTGATGAGGTTACTTCCTGCGGGCGTGACGGGCTCTCTGAGTGCGAACGATGGGTGGCGGGGGGAAGTGGCGTCTCGGGGCTGGACTGCGGCTCCACAGCAGCAGAGGAGGAAGACTCCTCCAACTTCCTCTTCAGTGTGGGGCTCGGAGCTTCCTTGATGAAGGTCGACTGGCGGACTAGCGCCGGCTTCTCTGGCTCCGCCTTCTGCTTCCTGGAAGGGGCGGAGCCAGTGAGCCGGGAGGCCGATTCGCTCCTGGGGAGGCCACCACCTTTAGGCACACCCTTGGCGGCTCTGGAGGAAGATGATGACGAGGCACTTCCTGGAGAGGCGGTACGTGGCAGCTGGGTCAGCTTTCCCACCTTCTGATTGGCCGGTGCAGAGGGCCGGGAAGGGGTGGAGTCTCGAGAGGACCCGCCCCCTCTGTCAGCAGTGTCGGTGCCTCCTGGAGCCTTGGCGGCAGCGGCAGCAGCAGCTCGGGGCTTGCTCCGCCCCCTGGCAGCCGGCTCCGCCCGGGGTTTTCCTGTGATCAGACTGCGGTAGACCTTCTTCCCTCCGCGCAGGGCCTTCGCCTCCTCCTCTTCCTCCTCCTCCTTCCTCTTGACCTCTAGGCTGCTGCGCTCACCAGGCTTCAGGATGCGGGCGCAGCGCTTGACCTGCAACGCTGCCTCGTTGTCCTCGGTAGTCCGGCCGGCCGCCGGCAGGTGGAACGGCGAGCCGACAGACTTCAGAGACAAGACGGAGTCGGAGTCTGAGGACGGCTGGCGGGACAGGGCCGAGGCGGCGGCGTTCAGGCTGCTAACGATGGAGTTGGCTCCTTCCTGGATGGCCTTCCAGTCGAAGGACTCAGAGTCTGGAGAGGGCGGACTGCGGGGCACCTCCGAAGGCTCCTCCTCCGCCAGGATGTCCTCATCTGCCTTGGCGAGGGGAACAGGGGCGGTGGGCAGCGTGGTGGCGGGTGACGTGGCGGTGGGAGATGCGGCAGTGGGTGGTGCGGTGGACTTCTTTTTCTTCTTGGGCATGGCGGAGCTGATGCACTCCTGCAGCAGGTCGTCCTCCGAGTCGATGCTGAGGGAGCTGAGGGAGGAGTTCCTGGAAAAACAGACTGGCGTGTCCTCCACGTGAAACGCTTTGGGGGCGTAGCCGCTGGCCGCAGGGGGGCGGGGTTTCGACTCCACCTGCGGAGCACAGAGGGAACCATCAGACATCCTTCAGACTAACTAAGCCCCAGATCCTCTGGTTTTCCTGATAAACTGAACCTTTCTGTAAGGCTCTTTGATCACTTTGCCTCAGTGACTGTCTGATTAGTAGAGAAGCTAACGTTTATGTCGTACAGGCAGGCTTACTGCTAGTCGTACATAGCCAACATAGAAAGTAGGTAAAGTTCAGCTATCATGTTAAAACAAGCTACACTAAGCGATCGGCATGGTGACAGCTCCTGTTAAGGGTTGGAACCGGAGATTAAAGAGGCCCAGCGTCACGCGGGCCTCTATCTCGTGTAGGGACCCAGGTCCATGGGCGCTAACCACGCTCAGGCGTCACTGGCTCACCTTGAGGGCCGCCACCATCCTATGGCGATGGAGGGACGGCTGTCCCAGCTGCCCAGGACTGAAGCTGGTGCATGGAGGCCTCTGTCCTCTATGCCCTCACAGTCCTGGCCCAATTTGCTGCATGTCTTCCCCCTCTCCTGTCAGATCATGCTCAGATGGAGGCTGCTAGGGCAGAACCCTTTAGCAGTGAAACAATAGTGGCTGTAGCTAGCTGCCATAGCTGGCTGCCAGGATGCCAGGACCAGGCCTCTCAGTGCCTCTAGGAGCTGGGCCGACATGATGGAGGAAGAGTCCATGCCTCTGCTAGAGAGGGTTTTATGGAGACAGAGGAACTCCAAATGGAGGTAGATGCTAACCCCGACCTCCTCACACTATTGGACGATGAGGAAGACTCCATGTTCCCGTTTCAGACCTATCAGGTCCACTGATGCCTGTGGGAATTAGTTTCAGGCTTGGCTTCAGTCAGTCATGTAGTGAAGCCCAGCGGAGAGAGGAACAGACCGCTGGGTACTTTGGGTTGCTTAATGTAATCCCTGCTTATTCAGGAAGAAACCTACTGACCCCTCACAACTCGTCCCACCCGTCTCTCCTGTCCCACCCGTCTCTCCTGTCCCACCCGTCTCTCCTGTCCCACCTGTACAGCAGCAGGAAGTGCCTCCTCCTCCTCCTCCTCCTCTTCATCGTGCTGCGGGGGCTGGGCGAACTCCTTGTTGTTGTTCTCCTGGTCGATGTCGCTAAGCGAGCTCAGCGACGGGTTCCTGGAGAAGCAGACGGGCGTGTCTTCCATGGAGAACTTCTGCTTCTCGTCCGCCACCGTCTGATTGGCCGGTGGTTTGGTGCGGGGGAAGATGGTGACTGTCTGCTGCTTCCGCTTCCTATTTTCCTCCTCCTTGCTCTTTCTGTCCTCACCGTCCTTCTCACCGGCCTCGTCTTCTTCAAAGTCCAGAGAGCTCAGCGAGTCGTTGCGCGAGAAGCAACACGGTGTCCCCTCGATGGGCGTGTAGTGGCGAGGCGAGTCGAAGGCGAATCCCGGCTTGGGCTTGGTGGCTGTCGCTGCGACGACACCATATGGCCCCCGCTGAGGCATGGGCTTCACAGGGGAGGTGGGCTTCTTCTTCACCTGCGGCGGTGTTGGCGGAGACACAGTTGGGGGCGGGGCCTGGCAGCACTCACCGCTGTCTGGCATTCTGATTGGCTTGCGGGGCTTGGCTTTAGGCATGGCGGCGCTGATGCACTCGGCCAAAATGTCATCGCCGTTCTCGCCCTCTGGGACCGCCGGCCGGGTCCTGGGGGCTGACGGGGGCGGGGCCGCCTCCTCATTGGGTGGCGAGTCGATGGTGAGGTCGCTGAGCGATGTGGCGGTGGAAAAATTGAGCGGCGTTCCTTCCACACAGTAAACGCGGGGCACTTCCTCCAGCAGTGGTGGCACCTCCTTCCTCTGCGGTGGTGGCGGCCGGCTCTGGGGTGGGAGGAGCTTGTAGACAGGAAGCTGGCTGGGTTTCCGTGGTGCCGCTGGCGGAAGCTTCTTGGGCTTCTGGGAGGACTTGGGCATGGCCATGTTGATGCACGCCACCAGGATCTCATTGTCATCGTCAGATTCGTCCAGAATGGGCTTGAGAGGCACCGGCTTCGCCTCCTCGCTGCCTGCTGCCGCCACCTCCTTCATCTCTGCCGCAATGTACGGCTCATCCAGACTGAGCGCGCTCAGACTGGAGGCACGGGAAAATCCATGTGGTGTGCTCTCCGTAGCAAAGTGTAGCAGCAAGTCCCCCTCCTCCCCCTTCTTGGTGCCCTGCGTCGGTGCATCGCCCTGGGCAGGCGGCGGCGGTGTCTTGGCACGACTGGGCGGCATGGTCTGGCCCGGGCTGTCAGGCAAGTCGCTGGGGCTCACCACGCCGCTCGGCTCGCTGCTGCACGGCTCGCTGGAGCGCACCGAGCTGGCGATGGACGACGTTGAGAAGCTGTCCAGCGAGCTGACCGATGTGCAGCGGCTGAACATCAGCGGCGTCTCCTGCGCGTACGGTGGCTCCGGAGGGCTTTTGGGGGTCCTGGCGCCCGAGGATGAGGTCACGTGGTGGTGATGGTGATGATGGTGGCCATGGTGGTGGTGGTGGCCCCTTCGTCCTCTTGTGGATGGCACGGCCGACGTCTGACTCTCCGCCTCCTTCTGCTGCCGTTGCTGCTGCTCCTGAGCATCTTTCTCGCTGACAGGAAGTGTCGGGTAGTCGTTGCCACCGCCGCTGCCTTTACTCTTCCTCACGACATCAGCATCTTCATCTTCCTCAGAGGACAGAGAGGATAGGGAGCTACCCCTGGAGAAGCAGATGGGTGTATCCTCCACACAGTAAGTCTGCGTTGACTCCTGGTTGCTCTTGACCGCAGAGCGCGTGGTGACCGGCAGGGGGCGGAGCTTGTTGGTGGAGGAAGAAGTGGGAGGAGCTAGCGAGGGGATGGCAGTCTCTTTGCGCGCCGACTCATCTCCATACTTCAGGCTATAGTCGATCGGCTGCTCTGGTACGGCGTCACCACCATAGGAGGACGTTGCCGAGACGACGACGTATCGTGGCGACTGTCCTGCTGCCATGCGGCCACTGCTCTCCCCCGCCTCGCCACTGTTGCC